CAAATTCAGTAGCATTTGGGAATTGATTTCAATTTCTAATATCACGAGAACTGATAGTCACTATCGTTTACTCTTAACTAAACTTACTCATCTTATAGTACTTAAGGTTTAAGATTACATGTTCTGACAAAATGTTCAATAATAGAGATATTCCAGTAGGGTACTGGAATATCCTATTGCTTGGCAGATAACACCCTAATTTGTTGCTCAATACAGCCCAACAAAGAAAAGAAGTTAGAATATTTGAAGCCCAACAAATACTCTGAACAGAGAATTCTCACATTTATTCTAGAGCCGCACTTATTCTGGAACTGGAAAATTCGTCCATTGCGCTAGTGAAGAGGAATCAGATTTCTTATTTCTTATATCTCAAACTTCAAGAGTGTTCCTTTTCCATATTTTAGGTGGTGTCCTAAGTATTCTGGGTCCATTTTAACATGTTCTATAGTAAAGGGGGTTTGAATCAATAACGTCATAATTACATAGTATAACATGAACAATTCTTGGCGGTTCTTGAAGGGACAACCAAGGACCTATTAAGAATATCTTCATAAGTTATTGTCTTCATTTTAGAAGTCAAAAGAAAATAACCTCCAGGGGGGAAGTTTGAAGCTAAAAATTTAAATCTGTGTGGTACACTACATCACCATTAATCTTGTGTTTAATAACCTTATACTTTCGTTCGTGATTACATGTTTCAATGCAAACATGATGTGTATGTTATATATATCCGAATGGGCCATACAGAAAAGTAAACTCTAAAATTACCTTGTTTATGCTCAAAATGGGTAAGAAAATAATTCAACTGATCTGGAAAAAAGAAAAAAGATGATCAAGAAAAAAAGTATGAAACCCATTAAGTATGAAACTAGATACTAAGTATGAGAAAGACATTAAGTATGAAACCCTTAATTGCCCCTCCTGGTGAGAGCATTTGTATACAGTAGAAGACATGCAATTATAAACCCTGTGTCCTGGGTAACGTTGAATCTACTTATTATCCACCATTGTAGGTAATAAATCGATACAACCTCAAAATAATTCAAAACTCAATCGAATTTCCTCAAAATGGCAAGTCTCTGAAGAAAAAAAAATCCCTTGTTTACGGTCTTATTTCTAGAAAAGCACTTAAAGTTCTTTTGGTAGTGTATACACTTTAATTTTGTCAAAGCAGATTTTTTTCCCAATTTTAACTGTACCTGTAAACAAAAGAAGGAAGAGAGATAACAGGAAGGCAGCCCAACTTGGTGAGTGCCTAAAGTATGCTCACCACTTCAGATTCATGGATTATTGATGTGTTCATAACATGAGTTTTGGATCGGATATTGGTTGTTTACTATGTCTCGCTGTAGGGTGTTTCATGCTACTTTGATTTCTTTTGGCTTGAGTCTTGGTTTATTTTCCCGTTTCGCGATATTTGTTTTGGGGTTTTCAGAAAACCAGGGATTGCAACTCAAACAAGAGAAGACACTACTTATTATTGATGCTTTTTTAAGAAGAAAACATGAGTGCTTCTTTCTATTTTATGTATTATAGTTTGTTTGAAAAGGTATCGGAAAAGGATCTTTCCGATAAATATAATTTATTTTTAAACAAAAAATATTTTATTAAATAGAAAATTGCAAAAGATTTTCACATTATATTCATATTAAAATTTGAGAATAAATTTTTTTCAATAAATATACTTTTGATAACAATTTATTTATTATTGTATTTATTTATTGTTATTTATTTATTATTATTTTTTATCAAAACTTTTTCTGAGTGGATCGGAAATTTTAATGTTAAAAATGCACAATTGAAATAAAAATAAAATAATATTCTTGAGAAATGAAATGATATGCGAAATATATGTGAAAAATATATGTATGCTCACATGCATAAATTCAGATTTATAAGATGCATAAATTCATGCATTTCTTACAAACTGTGAACTATAACTTTATGAGTTCGTCTGCAATGATACATAGCATCATGATCCATAAATAAAAAAGGAAATTTAGAAGCTCTGCATATGATATATAATTTTACCATGTAACAACAAAAATGGCAGTAAAATATGACAAAGAGTTAAAAAAAAAGAAATAATTCATAAGAAATGACGACTTATGAATTTAATATGGAATGTGATCTCCCCAGACTTGTACACACATATCAGAACGTGTTTCCATTCTGGAAATAACGTTGTGTTTTTGTTGTTTCTTATCCCACTTCGCTGGCCAAGCTCACGAGCCCATATATACTCATGATTGAAGGGGAAGGAAGTAGCTTCTGTTGTGATGGAGCACTCGTAGGTAGAAGTCTGACTTTGGCTCCGTGACGCTCTTACAGTCATAGGAGACCGGGAACTACGGCTTAAAGTGGATTCCGAACCACTACAAGCATCCATGGCACCGCCGGGATTCGAACCCGAAACCTGTGGCACCGAGCGCTACAGCGCACTCGGCCATTCAGGTCCCAAATTTGCGAATGCCAACGGCACGCGGTGTTTCCCAAGGTGGTCTCCCACCCAAGTACTGACCGCGCCCAATGATGCTTGACTTCGGTGATCTAACGAGAACCGGTATATTTAGCAGGGTATGGCCGTTGGCTATGTTAAGTGACGTTGTTAAGTGCAGTTTGGTTAATTAAATTCCACTTTTCCCTTAATGTCATCGTCAGACCATTTGAATCTCCAGGAGGAGGATGTCTACCCGCAAATTCTCTTCCAAGGTAGTCCCATTAGTTCTCTGTTGGGTTGCGATCAGGAAACTTTGCTGGTCACGGTATTCGCTTAATGCCACTTTCAAGGAATTCGTCAACGATATTGCTCATTGTGGACGGAAATAAAAAAAGGCATTTCAATATACATTCTGAATGCCTGATGGCTGAATGGCTAGCGCTCTGGCGTTCGGTACCACAGGTATCGGGTTCAAATCCCGGCTTTGCCCATGGGTATTTGTAAAGGTTCGGAATCCACTTTAAGCCGTTGGTCTCGGTCCTGATAGGATCGTAGAGCGCTGCGGGGGCATTGTTACTCCGCGTTCGTGGCTTACCATCAACTTACACGCCCCCCCTGGGTAGTGCAAAGTGAGTAACATCGGTGCAGCCCTTATGGCGAAGATCACGGTCTATTTGACAGCTGAATTAGAAGAAGATATACAGTGAGCCACAAAATTGAGTAAACACCTCTAAAACTTTTAGACTTCTTCCAATTACAAATTAAATGTTGATTTAAATAGATAAATTTTTTTATACTAGATACTCTAACCTCTGCTTTACCATCCTGTAATAACACAATTCTATAGTTAACTTATTTATTACGAAAAAAGTTAAGCGATTCAAAGAAAAGATAGAAAACCATACTACAAAATTGAGTATACACTTCTTATATTTTTAAATTATGCCACCACTTTTTTTAGTTTCAAATTTTTTTTAAAGAGTTTCAGGAGTAGCTGCTGCTTATAACACGTGCTATTGCACTTCAACGCTTTTAAATAGTATTTTTTCTCATTAAAAATCGTAAAATGAGCTCTCGTAGAGAAACTACTGAATCTGAGGATTTATTGGTTGTCAAATGGTCGAAAGAGGGCAAATCTCTTCGAGAAATTACTTCGTTGATTGGTGTAACTCCTGGTTGTGTCCAAACAATACTGCAAAAGTATAAAAAAACTGGATCTGTGGCCAATATTCCTGGAAGAGAACGTAAAGAAATACTGAGTACTACAGCGAAGAGGAAGATCATTCACTCAGTAAAGAAAGATCCGAGGGTGAGGGCCTCTAAACTAGCTTTATCGATATCCTCTACAATCGGGAAAAAGATCTCAGTTGAAACAATTCGACGTACCCTTCATCAATATGGGTTTCATGGCCGTATACCACTACGAAAGCCACTAATCAAGTTTGTGAATAAACAAAAGAGAGTGATTTTCGCCAAAGAACATCGTTTAAAGCCTATTTCTTTCTGGAACACTGTAAAATTTTCTGATGAAAGTAAGTTTAATCTTTGCGGAAGCGATGAATGATTTAAAATATGGAGAGAAGCTGGGAAAGCACTGTCACCTAAAAACACCATTAAGACTGTCAAGTTCGGAGGTGGATCTGTCCCCGTTTTGGGTTGTAAGTCGGCTGGAGGAGTTGGAGAGCTTGCTTTTATTGATGGTATTATGGAAAAACATGTATATTTGGGGATTTTAAATGATAACTTGAAAAAAAGTGCCAGTAAGTTGAGGCTTGGGTCAAGCTTCATATTCCAGCAGGACAACGACCCCAAGAATACAGCGAAGATTGTACCATTCCAAGAAGCAATTACACACTCCAGCCCAGTCTCCAGACCTAAACGTCATCGAAAATTTGTAGTCGCAATTAGAGAAAGCTGTACATGAGCACTAAATCACAAGCAAGGAAGTTCTCAAGAAGGTTCTGAGAGAAGAATGGGCTAAAATTTCTTTTGAAACCACTAAAACACTAGTAGAATCTATGACCAAAAGATTACAAGCTGCAATTCAAGCAAAAGGTTATGCAAGAAAATATTAATTTGTACGTTAAAAGGAAATTAATAAAGGTGTATACTTATTTTTGTGGTGTTGTTTTTCCTCTCGTCTCAGATCTTTTATTTTTTTTGTAAAAAATAAATAAACGTAACAATTTTATAAGTATAGTACGGTAAAGCATAGACTAAAGTATATAAGGTAAAAAATTCAATCATCTTAAAGCAATATTTAATTTGTAATTAACAAAAAGTTTCTAAGTTTCTAAGGTGTACACTCAATTTTGTGGCCCACTGTACATTCTGAAAAGTCTTACATAAGTTTCTAAGACCTCATTCAGATATTTCTGGGCAGTCACAGATCCGCTGTTGTAAATGTGTAAGAGCGCTCATCCGTTGATCGCACTTCCACTACTGAAACGGTCACGTTCCATAATGTTCGAGTGATAATTTCGTGTTCTTGATTATATCTAGAAGTAAACACATTTAGAATACGCATATACGCATTTAGAATCACTTATATATGAAGCCAACGACCATACCATGCTGAATATACCCGTTCTCGTTAGATCACCGAAGTCAGTACTTGGGTGGGTGACCACCTGGGAACACCGCATGCCGTTGGCATTCCCAAATTTGGGAACTGAATGGCCGAGTGTTCTAGCGCTCTGGCGCTCGGTGCCACAGGTTTCGGGTTCGAATCCCGGTGGTGTCATGGATGTTTGTAGTGGTTCGGAATCCACTTTAAGCCGTAGGTCTCAGTCTCTTATGACTGTAAGAGCGTCACGGAGCCAAAGTGCCACAAAGCCTTCTACCTACGGGGTGCTCCATCACAACAGAAGCTGTTTCCTTCCCTTTCAGTCATGAGTACGTATGGGCTCGTGGGCTTGGCCAGACAAATGGGATAAGAAACAACAACAAACAACAAGAATCACTTATAAAAATAAACCTCAATTCATCAGTAAAGGGAACATGGGACCAACGTTGTTCACTTCAGTCCTGATGTTCTTTGCACCAATTAAAGCGATCCCTCTTTTGATGTGAAGACAGTGAAACACATATCATTCGCGTTCTGGCTTAAATGCCTCTTTCAGTAAGCCTGCTTACAACATTTTCAATGTTTTTAAGTTGATTCATAATGTAGAATTTGTCTGTCTTGAAATATTCAGACATTCAGGCTCTGGTCTTTGGTATTCCAGGCTTCAGGTTCGAATCCTGGCGGTGGCATGGATGTTTGTGAGTGGTTCGGAATCCACGTTAAACTGTAGGTCCCGGTCTGTTTAGCCCAAAAGAGTGCATAAGATAACCGTAGAGCGACAAACCAAACCAAATCTTGATTGGCTGCCTTATTTTTATATGGCCTATGACTCGCTACTTCACAGATTCTTCCAAATGATGTTTTGAATCCATAACAAGCCGATTTGAGTCATTGCACACTTAAATCTAACGCTGCGTTGCAGAAATTCACTTGAATATTTACTTTGCGCTAAGCACTTTATTCAATGCCGGATAATGTAGGCCTAGATTTGCATATCAGACCAAAAAACCGTTTGATCACTTTTGATTGGATAATGCTAATTAAGCTTGTTTTTCACACATTCCCTGCCAACAGGGATCCCATTGATTGGAGATTTCATTCAATATAATTATTTTTGGGTATGTAAAGATAAATTTGGAAGTGAGTGTATATGTATTGAAACATAAAATTTTCAAATTTGTTTAATTACATTCTATCAAAATGGGGCCCGATGGCCGAATGGCTAGCGCTCTGGCATTCGGTACCACATGTTATCGGGTTCAAATCCCGGCTTTGCCCGTGGGTGTTGTAGTGGTTCGGAATTCACTTTAAGCTGTAGTTCCCGGTCCTAATAGGATCGTAGGGCGTTGCGGGGGCATTGTTACTCCGCGTCCGTGGCTTACCATCAAGTTACACGCTCCCCCTGGGTAATGCAAAGTGAGTAACATCGGTGCAGCCCTTATGGCGAAAGATCACGGTCTATTTGCCAGCTGCATTAGAAGAAAAAAAAAGCATTCTATCAATATGGTAAAAGATCTGATTTTTTTTTATCTTCAACTAATTTTATACCCCAGTACGTTGATGTTCTATAAAACGTAACACAAAACATTTCTTCATTTAATATTATTTCTGTTTCTAATATTTAATGAATTTTATTTCTTTTTTCAATTATTTTTCTGATTTTTACTGTTGAAGATATGCAGAAAAATGCGTTGTGTCTGTAAATGGTTTAGTTGCCGACAATGCAAGGCTTCAGGAAATAACAGAAAGTTTTTTTTTTTTTTTGATGCATTGATCCACACTTGGGCGAATTCCTCTTGACATCGTGTTATAAGCCAAAGCGATATCGTATCGCGATACGTGTCAGTGGAAGTAATAGTCATAAGACTGGAGGGTGTGGTCATTTTCAAAACGTCAAAAATTGACATGCCTTCCATAGGTTGGGAATGTTTTTGTTCGAGTAGCAGAGTTAATTTCGAAATACTACAAATAAATAATAACTGCCATTCGTCGCAGTTTTGCCAATTCATCAAGGTTGGGGACTGTAAACTTTTTGACAAATATAACAAACCAATGAGGGGAGGTCTATGTATATATTTTAATTTAGATTAATTATTCATTTACTCTCTCAAAGTATGAATTTCCATCAAATAAACGGTACTTACGTAATAACGGTACCTTGGCGACAGTTGCGCCCATAAAGAGCACGCGTGCCATTCGCAGCTACAGATTTGGCGGTTTTAAGTGGCGCCAATCTACACTTAAAATTTTTGTTCCAAATAATAAAATATATATGAAACACTTCATTTAAAATCAAAACGCTTTCAAAATATTTTTATCCCAAATAATAAAATATATAAAAAAATTCTTTTAAAATCAAAACGATTTTACAATTCAAAACACTGTATTTAAACACAAATTAGTCAAAAACACTTCATTTAAACGCAAAGTAGTCAAACGGCTTTCAGTGGAAAACAGGTCGATATAGAGTTTAACATGGATTCAAAACAGTCTCTTTTTTCTTTCTCCTGGTGCTGTCGTCATATGAATTCTGATAAATAAGATTCCAAATGATGTCTCGCTGTCCCCCTATGTCTCTTGTTCCTCCATTTTGCACTGCCCTACATTCTCTCTACTTTTTGTGTATGAACTCCTGTATCAAGATCAATAAAATTGTATTTATGATTAACTTTAGCATGCAGGAAGCCTTCTATTTCTATTCTATTGGTTTGGTAACCTTTCCAACTGTCAGACTAAATTTCTGGCAAATCCCAAATACGCATTTTCGTAGCACTACAAAATGGCGTCAAAACTCAGCAAATCTGCAGCCGTTATATTGGCGCCACTTAAAAACCGTCAAATCTGTAGCTGTAAGATTGGCGCCACTAAAAAACCGCCAAGTCTGCCGCCAAGGTACCGTTAATACGTAATTACCAAATAAACTAACTAGCGATCAAAACACTTCGTGCTATGAGGGTCGTTATTGCCAGTTATCGATCTTCAGAAGCATTTATCATTCCAACCATTCATTTACAACAGTTCCTTCGTTTTGAAGTTGTTTCCACGACAAGCGTAGCGTTTCAAAAGCGTAGCGTAGCGTTTCAAAACAGACAGTCGACGTAGCGACTGTCCGTTTTGAAATATTCATACATCTGGCTGCTTTCTTGATTAGCTGCCTTGCTTCTAGACGGCCCATGAGTTGCTACTTCACAGATTCATTCAAATGATATTTTATCATAACAAACCGAGTCTTTACACACTGAAATCAAACACTGTGTTGCAAAAATTCCCTTAAATATTTACTTTGCGCTTTTTATACAGTGCTGGATAACGTAAGCCTTGATTTGCATATCGGAAACCGTTTGATTGCTTTTGGTTGAATAATGCTAATTACATTTGTATTTCATACATTACCTGCAAACATAAATCACATTGATTGGATATTTTATTGAATAGCATTATTTTTTTGGTATGTAAAGATAAATTTGGAAATATGTGTTTATGCATTGAAACATTAAATTTCAGATATATTAAATTATTTTCGGTACTTACGTATTAACGGTACCTTGGCGACAGACTTGGCGGTTTTTAAGTGTCGCCAATCTTTATTATTTGAAATAAAAATATTTTGAAAACGTTTTGATTTTAAATGAAGTGTTTCATATATATTTTATTATTTGGAACAAAAATTTTAAGTGTAGATTGGCGCCAAATCTGTAGCTGCGGTTGGCGCGTGTGCTCTTTATTGGCGCAACTGTCGCCAAGGTGCCGTTAATACGTAAGTACCTTATTTTCTATCAAAATGGTGAAAAAGCTGAACTTTTTCAACTTTAACTCATTCTATTTCACACTACAGTGATATTCTATAAAACGTAACACAAAACGTTTCTTTATTTAATATTATTTCTGTTTCTAATTTTAAAGGAATTTTTTTAAATCTTTTTTGCAATCATTTTTCTGATTTTTATTGTTGAAGTTGGCAGTTATGCATAAAAATACGTTGTGTCTATAAGTGGTTTAAGTGGTGGTTTAGTTGCCAACAATGTAAGGCTTCAGGAAATAACAGAAAGTTTTTTTTTCTTTTGATGCATTGATCCACACTTGAGTGAAATCCTCTTGACATCCTATTATAAGCTAAAGCGGTATCATATCACGATACGTGTCAGTGGAAGTAATATTCATAGGACAGGAGGGTGTGGTCTTTTTTGAAACCAGTCAAAAATTGACATGCCGTCCATAGCTTGGGATTGTTTTTGCTCGAGTACCAAAGTTAATTACGAAACACTACAAATAAATAATAACTGCCATTCATTGCAGTGACAACTCATCAAGTTTTACGCCTTTAAAAGTTTTGACAGATCTGACAAGCAATGAGGAGAGGTCCATGTATATGTTCTCATTTAGATTAATTATTTATTCACACTCTTAAAATATGCATTTCAATCAAATTAAATTTTTTTTTCCAAATAAACATATGATTAATATAAAGGCGACATGTAATTAAAAACTTATTTTATTACTTATCTAATTTTATCTGTAACCAAACATATGAAATACATTTGCATTACATAATAATTTGCAACTTTCAATGAAAAATTTTTAACGAAATGAATTAAAAGGATAAATGCATTCATAGCAAATGAAAATTTTTTTAGAAGAAAAAAAAAAAAAACATAGTTTTTTTTTTATAATATTTATAGGGCATTAAGATCGACTGACTGTACTTCTAAAAGGGATAAGGTTCCTTTAATTAATATTTATTAATAATGATTCGTCAATAAATATTCATGAATATTATCAAACCCAACTTAAAGGGTAAGTCAAACAACTGTCAAAAGAAAAACGTTCTTCAATATTCACCAACATCAGCCAACCTAAACGCTGGCTGATAATGGTAACACTAAGCTAAGAGTAGGAGCAAAAGCAGCCATTTCTGCATGGAAACATTAGTTGTTTATAGTTTAACTTACCCATTAAATTAGGTTTAATAATGTTGAAGAAATGTGTTGTTGTTTCTTATTCCACTTGGCTGGCCAAGCCCACGAGCCCATATGTATTCATGATTGAAGGGGAAGGGAGCAGCTTCTGTTGTGATGGAGCACTCGT